CACAGATCATCAGCTCTGGGTGTGCGTAAGAGAACATTTACTCACAGAAAAAAATCATATTCAAGGATAAAAAAATTAAAATAAATTTACCATCAGCCTGACTGGCCTACATCGTATATCCGAAAGATACAGCCTTCCAATTGTTCAACGACACGTGTCTACAAGTTGATTTGAAGAAATCGAAATACAGCAACTACACGAGTATGCAACTTCCGCAAATCAAAACAGAAAAAAGAAACACTTCTCAATTATCGTAGGCAATTTAAATGCCAATCTTTAATTGTAACTTTGATTTAAGAAAATACATTATATTTTGCGTTCTCCCAGAAGAAAAATCAACATTAAAATCTCGACTCAAACGAATGAAAATGTATGGTACTTTTGGTCAAGTAAACTGGAACCTGAAGACCGGGCGTCCTTTGAATGCGTTTTCGTTCGAAGTGGGTTTCTCAAAAATCGTGCGAAAAAGAGGAAATGACCCAATTTAATTACGACCTACTGGAGCTCGTCTACTAGAACTGAAGTCCTTTGTACGAATTTGCACGGACCATTGGGATGTGCTAATTATCCGAAACCAAAGTCATTCTTAAACCTCGATTTGTTTGGGAGCAACAATGAATTCTATCGGTCGGCGATTTATTAATGAAAAACAGGTGGAAGGTATAAAAGTACTAACAGTAGATACCAATCGATATATTGTATTAATCGATTTATTCTAGGCATGAAAGGTTCTTTCATGTTCTGACTCCTATATCTACATTCTTCTTCTTCTTGTGCCATGCTGTCCCCGAGAGCGTAGGCAATCTCTCGCGCATACTTTTGTGGAACCACTATCCACAAGATATACGGCATTTACAGCGAATGCGTTCACCATCATATAGGTAACTACATTATATGTTTCAAATTGAAAATGGTAAACAGTAACTCAAAATTTGTAAGCTTTTGGCTAAGATTTAATAGGGATCGAATTTCACTCTTCACTTGTGTCTTCAGAATAACTTACGCCACTGGTCCCTGTTGATAAATGTGCAAGATAGTACCGGTTAGAAAAATTCAGGCCGTTTTTCCTGTGAATGGCACAACTTTGCACGTTTCTTTTTAAGGTAACAATTTATTAATATCACGATTATCACTTGTTATCACCAAAAACACGAGGACTCACCGTATTTACGAGTCCAACGAGTCAAGTTTCCCTTACTATAAATTTACTACAAGATATTGCCTTCAATTACGGTGTTGTTATAATAAATGTTTCATTATGTTTTCGTTAATTACTATAATAATATATTATACCACTATTATTAATTACCACCTTAAATTCTTATAATTTTTTAAATTTAAAGCTTTAACGCTGTTATGTTAGTGGCATTGTTTTTATTATTTTTTCAAATTTCAAAATAAATAAGTAAGACACTAAATACATTTATAACTACTGCTTTCCTCCTATTTTGTCGTTGATGCTACTCATACATTTCAAATTGGATACTGAGCCGGGAAAGTAGCTCTCGCTAGTACCTACTTTTATATATACTGTGAACCAATGTTGGTCCCATAAAAAACTTAAACAAATGCACCCACAATGCTCCCACCTTTTTGGGGAAAATGAGTAATATACAGTTACGACACATAAAAGTAGACGACTCCTTAAGGCGATTTTTTCCAAATTTTGATAAATTAGGCTTTGTGAAATACGTCAAATATATGTACGATGTATGTCACAAACTTGATTTAATTTGACAATTTAACTCACCTCTCTATAAATCATGCTCTTCGGCTTTTCAAATCTCTCAGCTACTGTTAGATTAATGAAATTATTCGAGTATGTTTGCAGAATAGTTATACAGGGTGATTCAAAATTGGCGCCATTGCTTTTAAGGGGCTATAGGGCTCAGAAAGTATGATAAAAATACTGAAATCGTTTTTTCCGAAATAATTATATTATAAAAAAATATATTAACAGTTGATTATCGAATTTCAACTTTGTTATTAAGTACTATTTTGAAAGAGTTGGTGGCCAATAAGAATATTTAACCCTTCGAAAAGAAAAGTTACGATCTTGGCTTCAAATCACGAAATTTTTTGATATTGAAAAAGTTCTGCAATTTTTTGATTATAAGTTAAAGGGGTAAATGATGTTTTTTGTCATTAACAAATAGTTACAGGTAGCTGGCCTTTGTCAATAATCACAAGCATTTGTGAAACTGTGACTTACTTCTTTGACAAAATGTACACCAATATCGAATATGATGATATGCTATTAACTATGGGTGAATGCCACATTAATTAACATAGCTGGAGCTGTAAGAACTACGCCCACAAAGGGCTAGAAACACTGGAAGATTTGCTCCAGGAAGATGGTGGACGAAATAGATGTTCGAGTTCCAGACAGGTATCGGAGATAATTGCTCCAGAGCCTTCCAGGGATACTCAGAGCATTGCACAACAACTGACATTTTTCTAGACACCAAATAAATGCCGATAAAGGGCTACATTCCTACCACGTATGCAAGATACATACAACACAAGGGTACATTGAAGTTTACCGAACAATGGTACAAATTGAGCGGAAGTTAATAATTAAGCGTTTAATTAGTTAATAGTTAAAGCGTATGATAAGCTGCTAGAGAAGAGTGTATAATAATGTGATAACAGATGTACTAACTTGTTTGGAGTTAAAGACAGAAATGTATGTTTATTTGTATACACACCAATTCGAGGTTATGATAACACTAAAGAACAATATCTCTTTGTTGACATTGATATTTCGAAAGAGGACGTTTCACATTTAAGGAATCCTGTTGAATTTATTTTTTATCTTTATTTAATTTATTGTCACTTCCTATATTTTCCATGGTTACCGAAATTCTTAATAATTTCGTAGCAACAGGTTTTTGCATAATGTTAATTAGGCAGCTTACCTTGAAAATCATTGTTGTCGTTTTTCTAATATAGTTTTTGTCAAATTTCTCAGTTTTTAATAACAATTAATTTTTTTTACAAACTGCTTGTTGGGTATTTCGCCTCATAAAATTTTGTATTTAAAAAATTCAAAATTTTCTCACGTCTTTTATTACATATTGGTAAATAGTGCTCTTATTTCGCAATAAGAACAAATTATTTATCAAAAAGTAATGAAGAACTATTACCTAGAGGGTATCCTGCGACACACTTAGACTCAAGCTGTAAGAGAAAATTCCAATTAGTAAAAAAATTAATTTGAAAAATTGCCTTGACGTTTCGATAACTATTATCTGCTATCGTTATTAAAAGAATCTAAATGAACCTAAAAAAGAGTATGTTAATAAATTGTGTAACAATAGTAGGATAATACAGTATATGAAAATTCGCTCGGATAATTCGTCTGTGCAAATTGTCAGTTATGCGACTTAATTTAATTGCTTAAACTAATAAAGGTTATGTTAATTAATAATTTTGGTGTAAAGTTAATTTGGGAGTATGTTTCTCTGGTCAACTTCAAATTTTCGCATAGGTTACCATGTATGACTTAAATTAACTGAACATGAAGCAAAACAATTATTTTGATTTAGTAAAATTAGTGCGCTTTCTTTAATTTTACGTTTTTTTGTCGATGGTTTTTTTGTTAAAATTGTAGAATTTTTCATTGCATTTTGTGGCCATTATCAAATGCATGTTGACAAGTATGTGACTTATAATATTCTCTGTTTTTATCTATGATTGGTGTTCTTTGATTCTTTTGTGTGATGGTATTGAGGTTTCTCCTATATAAAATTTATTGCATTCGCATTGTCATTAGGTTTTGTTACTGAAATTTTGCTTCTAATTGTATTTTCAGTTTTGAAGATAGTCCTAGTATTAAATTTACTCGTTGAATTAATCGTTCTTATTGCGAAATAAGAGCACTATTTATCAATCTGTAATAAAAGACGTGAGGAAATTCCGTCGTTTTTAAAGACTAAAATTTTTGAGGCGAAATGCCCAACAAGCAGTTTGTAAAATCATTTTTAAGTTTGTAAGTCAATTTTAAATCACTCTGTATATTCCTAACGTTTCTGAGAAAATTGAAATTTATTACAGAAAATGTATAGATCTAAATGGAGATCCTATACAGGATCACTAATTTTAATGTTAGTGTTATTTTTTAAAAATCTATTGTAGCTATAACTATCGTAATTTTTGACACATGTTTCATTGGATTGTCGTATTTCCATGCTACGTTGATGTGGTGGAATTTATGTTTTTTAAAACGTAATACAAAAAAAAAGAGTAAGGCACAAGGAATAAGGCTAATGAAGAAAAACTGAGGCGTTTTGAAATCAAAATCCTAAGAAAAACCTTTGGTCTCCACCACGACCCTTATAGCAACCAGTATCATATCAGATCAAAGATTATCGCATGACGAGAAGGACCACGCCGAGATTAATCAGCTTTATGGCGACGGGAATATTGTCAAAGAAATTAAGTCCCAGACCTAAGATGGTATGGGCATGTCCATAGACTACGAGATGACGACAGACTGACGAAACTGGACGGGAAGGCCACTTGGGAGACCACGCCAGAGATGGAAAGCCAACATCAAAGCAGATCGCACTCAAATCAATATCCCTCTGAACCCGGATCTTTTCGAGGAACGGGATGCCTGGAAGAGCATAGTGCGTGCAGTCAGCCTAGAGCCACTCTGGGTTATAGAGCTACCTTGTATGTATGTATGTATGTATGTATGTATGTATGTATGTATGTATGTATGTATATATGTATATATGTATGTATGTATGTATGTATGTATGTATGTATGTATGTATGTATGTATGTATGTATGTATGTATGTATGTATGTATGTATGTATGTATGTATGTATGTATGTATGTATGTATGTATGTATGTATGTATGTATGTATGTATTTATGTATGTATGTATGTATGTATGTATGTATATAGTTTTTATTTAAATGAATAATGTAAGTAGCTATCAACTAATGAAGAATACATGCTGTACATACAAAATTAGCAAACCTTCAAAATATAATAAAAATTGTATTTATTTCAGTATAATAACATTATTGTTTATTACATAGCATATAGATGTCCTATAATACTATTATACTGGGGTTTATATTTGAGCGACATTGTGGTGGATTGTTGTTCAAATATTTGCAGATAACTCCCTTAAGATCATCAATAGATTGGTTGGCATCGTTCTCATTAAAGCCACCATTGAAAACAACTGTTGGTACTGAGCGTGGATTAAGTTGGGCTGTTATTTTTTCGTTTGCTTCCATTATTTTCTCACCCGCTATTGAAGATATACACATCTCAATGTCAGGCCAAGAAATCTGATTGCTGCTTGCACACTGCAAAATAAAAAGAGTTTGCAGTAAAAGTAGTTAGTTACACTTGTTAACAATTATACTAGTAAATCAATACTTTTTAGAACTATTACTTTTTATTTATGCCATTGTGGCCCGAACTGTTTACAAAAACTTAATTCTTTTGAGGTCGAAAATTGTGTGAGAATTCCGCAGAGAAAAAACGCTGCCGAATACGCTCATGCATAAACATGTTTTCCTTCATGTCGTTTTATTTTAAATAGCCTACTATATTTATGCAAAATACACTTACGCTTTGTAAAGCCTCTTTTGATGCAGGATTATCTGAGCTTTCACTGCAAGCCGCAAAGCTCTCACTTATTGTGATAGAATACAATGCTATAACACATCCATGTACTCTGTTTCCATAACATTCATTTTGCCCGTGTTGGCAAATAAATATCTTTGAGCCATTAACTACACTTTCCTTAAATCAGGAGACCATTAAATCGATTTAACATTTATAGCGTGGTTTCTTTGAATTCTACAGGTTTTTTTCTTACATGTTCGAATCCACACGGAATGAGCTGCAAATCTATTAAGCTACTGCCAAATGCTTTGTAGTTGGGATGGAGTTGATTTGTTATGAAAGCTATGCAATCAGGACATAATGTTTCATAAAATACGGACACTTTAACGGTTGCATAAATCTGAAAATAATGTAAGTGATATATATTGCTAGTTATGAGGGCCATTATGCGAAATTTTCGTAATGAAAATTTTCAATTCATTTTTACATAACCCCATGGGAAAAGGTATTGGAAAGTCAAAACTTGAGATCTTGCATGCCATTCTACTGCAGATATTCTGCTAATCAATTTGCTGGTTTCAATTGGTTCATTTTTTCCACTTTATGCTTCAAATCTTCATCTTCTTGGGGTCTTCTAGGTGATCTTGAATTYAGTAAACACGCTCAACTGATTCACGAAAAAGCAGCAAAGAACATTAGGGCTCTGATGGACCAAAAACACTTAAAAGTAGATTATTATACTGAAAATAATGCTCTATGTACGTCTTGCCAATTTGGGAAATAGCCATGCGGAAACAAAACAACTTGAAATTGTACAGCACACTATAAAGAGTTGCAGCTATCCGGGTAACCCAGCCGTACATGACAGTATCCACCAATGCACTCTTAGTATTGTGTGTCATTTTTGCTATAAATTAAAAAACTGAAGAAAAAACTGAAATGTATAATAGAAGGCCTCAAACAATTAGCAGCGCAGAAAAAAAGCAAACACTACAGTAAATGTTTACGAAACGGTAAAAACGGTGAAAGGAGTCAGACACTCACAAATGGACAAAACGACTAATGAGAAATCGAAAAATGGGTTGAGAGACAGCACGGACAACCCGACTATTATTTGATGTTGTTACGGGCCATGGAATCCTACTACCCGTTTTACGAACGAAATTGGCCAAACCCGATGTTGAGCGTATGTATTGTGGCGAGATAGGTTCTGCCGAACATACTTTCCAGCATACATGTCTTTTATTGTAACAGATGGAAAAAAATTAGTGAAGAAGCTTACAACAACATCAGAATTAGCCAGACATGCTAGAACATAACAACTCCGCCTGGGACAACTGAAAGGGTGATTCGGTCCCAAGCCCGGATCAAGGAGGAGGATTGAGCGTGAGGCTAACCACCCCACCTCATAAAAAATTTCGCGGTTGTGAAGACGCAAGACAAGCCTCGGAGCAGGATGGATAAACAGAGACGTTCAAAGCAAGGAAAAGGAATTGGAACGAATATTGGAACATGGAATGTATGTACTTAGCTGGTGCAGAAAGCGTGCAGTGGTCAGAACAATTAAAGAAATTGAGCGGCTGAAAATGGATGTAATTGCACTACAGGGAATAAGAGGGCCTTGCTAAGAAAATCTTTATGTAGAAAACCCAGTTATCTTTTATAGTGGTAACAACCAGAACGTGCAACAGTTCGGCACTGGCTTTGCAATTGAGAAAAACCTGCTGGGCTCAGTCCTAAAATTTGAACTCCTTAGTGACCGATTATGCAACCTAAGGATGAAAGCCGATTTATATGACACCCTGGAGAGTAAAGTAGGAGCTATACCTGAACAGGATATGAAACTTATATTAGGAGATTTTAATGCAAAGCTAGGAGGAGAAGCGGCATTAAGGCAACACGTGGGCACAAAAAGCTTACACGTATTCTTAAATGATAATGGGCTAATACCTGCAGAACTAGCAGCTTATTAAATCTATAATGTATGATCACAAAGCTATCCATAACGAGACATGGCCCTCCACTGACGGTAAAACAAAAACCAAGTTGATCACGTCGTAATTGATGCAAGGTATGGAAGCAACGTCCTGGATGTAAGAAGCTATCGAGGGGCAGACGCGGACTCGGATCATTTTCTTGTAGGATCAAAGCTGAGAATCAGAATATTAACCTCAAATAATGCGCAATCCAAACAAGATCAACAGTGAGATACAGCAAAATTGGAAAACGAAAAACCAGAAGGCGCTTCCAGTTGGAAATAGGGCCCCAAATCCAAGAAATTACAAATACAGATGACATAGACACGAGATGGAAATTACTATCTGAAGCAGTCATAAGGGCAGCAAGTGCGACTATGACAGTAAAGCCAAGGAACAATAATGAAAACCACTGGTACGATCCAGAACATGAGAGGGTACTTATGAAATAATGCAAGACAGAAGATGCAATAATGCAGTAGCTTACTGAAGACAATAACAGTAAATTCAGACAACTAAGAAGAGAGGCCAATAAACTACTTAGAAGGAAAAAGGAGAACAACAGGATCAGGAGTTGCAGGAATTAGAAATCAATGGAAGGAACAACACCAGGAAATTAAGAACAAGAAATAAGGACGACAACGGAGACCTCCAAAACTAACCAAAGGCTCCAAACATGGAAAGCGTACTTTGAACAACTTCTTTACCAGGGTGCTACAAATAACGAAGAACCGGCCAGCTTCCAAACTGCGGAAATGCGAGACGAAAACCCTTCTCGATTGAAATGATGAGAACGCCAAAAAAAACTTGAAAAACAACAAATTTCCTGGTAACGACACGATAACCCCGGAACTCCTGAAACACACCGGAAACACAGTAACATCCCAACTACACGAACTCATAATAACTATTTGGAAAAACGGGAAGATCCCAGAAGACTGGAAAGAAGGCATTATGGACAAAAAATCCCCATACACAAAAAGGAGACAGAATTGAATGCAACAATTATAGAGGAATATCGCTTATAAACGTCTCATTCAAAGTGCTCTTAAATATAATCCTGTCGAGAAGTACCCCACTCACAGAGGAAATAATAGGAGACTATCAGAGTGGCTTTCGGACAAACCGGTAAACAACAGATCAACTGTTCACAATTAGACAGATCCTAGAAAAAAGCTGGGAATTTAATAAGCATCTACACCAATTGTTTATAGACTTTCAACAGGCCTATGTTAGTGTGAAGAGAGTTAAGATCCGGGAGACGATGGCAGAATTCGGGATAAATGGTACGCAGCTTATGACCGACCGAGTTAGATGGAGGCACGTCGTCGCGTCAGCCAAAGCCCATCAGGGGCTGTAGCCCTACAGAGTGAGTAAGTAAGTAAGTATGCTGGAATATAACCAGATCAATGAAAAAAGTGGGATATCATGGAGGCTAATTACGAAAGTAATAAAAGCAAAGCAGGGGAACAGACAAACATCAAAACAATGCCACTCAGCTTAGAGAAATCAACAAAGAAATATTAAAGGCGATTCGAAGAGATGTAAGGCTACACAAATAGAGGAAATAACTACGGTGAGAGAGGAAAACAGGGGAATGAAAGTGCTTAGGAAAAAGTTGTCAGAGGGTAAGAAGCAATTAAGTAAGATAATTGACAACAAGAATGGACAAACTACCTCAAATAAGCGAGACATCCTGCTAATCATAAGAAGCTTCTATGTGGAACTCTATAAGAAAACTACAACAGAAATTGGCGTAGGCATTCCAGTGATACAAAACCAGGGATCAGAAGACATCCCAGAAATCACTCAAGACGAAATAAGAAACACTGCTTAAAACACATGAAAAACCATAAATCGCCAGGAGATGACGAAATTAGCACCAAAAATATAAAACTAGGAGGATCAGCACTTCTAAAAATACTGTGTACACTATACAATGCTTGTTTAAGAAACTCCATAACGCCTGATCAATGGAACAAGTCCATCATAATACTTTCACACCAGAAAGAAGATATAGCCCAAATAGAAAACTACAGACCAATTAGCTTGCTATCGCAGATGTAAACTTTCGACTTTAACTATATATTTTGTTAAACTATTCATCAGATCAAAAAGAGTAATATGCTGTTTGAAAGACAATTTAATAAGCTTTAATGTGAGTATAAATTTATCAAGAAGGCTTATCGTTTATGTGCGTAGCAACCGGTATACAAATGAAACGTGTCTATGTGGTGATTGTAACGAAATTAAAAAAATTGTTAAATACTAAAATTATTGCGTTTGCAACTGAAATTTGCATATTAATTCGATTCTCGTAATCTCAATAGTGTTTAAGTGTGTTAGTTTAATGCATACTACACCACAAAAAGCCGGCCAAGTTATTGCTTTAATCGAAAATGGACTTAGTCACCGAACTGTTGCAAGACAAGTGGATATGACTCGCGTAGCGGTTCGAAGAGTGTGCAAACGTTATGAGGAAACTGGATCCTTTTATAGGCTACCTGTAACAGGCAGAAAGCGATTTACAACCGCTCGTGATGACCGCTTTATTGTGTCAACAACATTAAGAAATCGTCACCATAATTCGCTCAAGTGCAACGACAGCTCCGTGAAGTACGAGGAGTGGCTATTAGTCAGTGGACAGTAAGGCGAAGACTGCAGGCAAATAACTTGGCCCCTAAAACACCTGCGATTGGTCCAAAACTTACTCCAGCTCATCGGCAAGCAAGTCTTCCTTTTGCCTTCATGTTAGCGACCGCAGAAATAAAGTGTACCGAAGAGCAAGAAAGCGATTTGCAGATTGCTGCTTTGAAGAGTGGAGTGCTTATGGAGGTTGTTCCTGTATTATCTGGGGTGCAATTTCTATTCACGGAAGAAGAGCTTCAACTGCTATTAGATATATCGAGGAGATTTTAGCAATTCATGTGGTACTTTACATCGACTACACTGGAGAAATTACCTTTATGCATGACAATTCCAGGCCGCACACCGCAATAATCGTGCAAGATTACATTGCAGAAGTCGGTTTTCGGGTTATGGAGTGGCCAGCAAACAGTCCTGACCTAAATCCGATCGAACACTTATGGGATGAGCTAAAACGAAGAATTCGAGTTAGACTTCATTCATCAGATTCGATTAGGAAAAGATAATCAAACCTGCGAAGTTGGCAGAAGAATAGGTCTTGCATGGGCAGCTTTTGGAAGATTGAGCTACATCTTGACGTCTAATATTCCCATGGGTTTTAAGAGGAGAGTTTTCGACCAATGTATTTTACCAGTACTAACTTATGGAGCCGAAACACTGACTCTAACAAAGAACACCACGAACAAAATAAGAGTAGCGCAAAGAGGCATGGAAATAATAATGTTAGACTTGTCTCTGACAGATAGAGTTCCAGACACGGAGGTGAAGTGGAGTAACAGATGCCATCACAATAATATCGCCTCTAAAATGGAACTGGGCGGGTCACCTAGCCAGAATGAGTGACGGCAGATGGTCTAAACAAATAACTGAATGGAGACCACGAGACCATGCTTTCCACAGCAGGGGCAGAGGGCCCACTCTTTGGTCGGATGATCTGAAGCGCATCCGAACCAACTGGTTTAATGCAGCACACGATAGAGGGAGATTGAAATCTTTACGGGAGGCTTATGTCCAGCAGTGGACGAGCATATAGTTGGGTGATGATGATGAAGATGAAAGCAGGGAAAAAACGAAATCTGAGAAAACCGTCGAAAACGAAGCGTTGCGAAAGCAAACGTAACTCTGAAGAATGTCCCAAGGTGATCCAATGGAGTGAAAAGCGAATTTGGTCGGTCGACAACTCACAGAATTGAGCCAACCCCACACTGTCTCGTTCCTGGTAGATCTAAACATCGAACGAGGTGTCTGGAAACAGATTTAACTAAAAATAAACACCTAAAAAAGGTGACGTTCTGGGACAACGTGAGATTCGAACACTACTCTATGTCTCCAGTTCTGACTTTGACTCTCTGACAGACTCTGACTCTCTGACTCAATATTTCTTATCATGTCATTTGGAAACCGTTATTTTCAAAATCCCACCTACGAGTATGCATAAACTGAAATATGAATTACATCTATGATTGATATATGATGATATGATATATAATGATCTATGATAAATATGATTCATATATGAATCACACAAGAATATAAACAAATTTCCCCGTTCAACATACGTGAAGGATGTCACGACAGACTTTACTGTTACGAACGAATAACGACCCACATTTTGAATAATTCCTGAAATGAGCTTAAACCGTGAAAGCAATACACTAACATTACTATACTTATGTCGATTAATATTTCTTTTGACATGGCGCATTTTCTATTCTAAATCATGAACCAGCCAACCAACTTTACTTTTTCCTGTAGCCAATAGTTTCATTTCTATGGCCGACAACAACAACAACCGCAAGCAAATATATTTTTTTATTTCAGCACTAGTGGCGTGGAAGAGATTTCGTGGAAGAATGATATATTTTAATCATGAAAATTTAAAAGCGAGAAATTAAATAAAAACAAAAAACGATGTGCTGATAGTTTCAACATTCGGATGTTATTATATTATATTATCTTTATTTAAACGACTAACCATGATAACCTCTTGACCTTTTTATCTTTCCATTAATTTTCATTAATGCTACTCAATGATAAGAGCCATTTAATTGAAAATTTAAAAATATTTAACAACAAAACCGTCAAACTAATGTCATGTTATAAATCCATTGAATTCGAATATTCTATTGCCAGAACCGAGGATTACTAGCTCCTAGGTGGTAGTAGCTAAGAGGTCAAATATTCAACTACCTTTATAGATAATTAACTTTATCATGCAAATTGAACCACTTACCCGAAAACTGAGGACAAAAATTACACTTTGAAATAATGACAGCTTCATGGTCACCAACATTGTCAAGTCCAAAGACGAAATTAGGTCGTCCGAGAAAATAAACAACCTCGGATATTGTATGAGCGCGTGTAAATGGTATGAACCTATCAAATAACATTAATGAATCTTGGAGTTTGCGCCTTTAAATTATTGTTCATTTTAACTGCAGGATTGTTTACAAAGATCGGATAACAGATTTTTCCAACTAAAACGATTTAATAATAAATAATAAATTACGTAAGGATAGGTTACACAATAACACATGTTTAATACTGAAAGCAGTGAACTAGGTATTCCAATAACTATCATTTCGTTACAGAAATAACGCAAATGCAGTATTAAAATAAGTACTGCATGACAATGCATGTCCAATAACTCTCTATTTTGGACAAAATGGAAGTCCTTAAATGGATTATGATTACTCGGTGTGGAAAACTTTCTAAATTTAAGTTTTCGATTGGACTGCAAATATAATTAATAAAACGGCTGTAATGTTATTTACTTTACGCTGAGCATTATTTATTATATTGATTAAATATTACAGTAGGAATATCAAGTCGATACGGTAGTTAGTGCTCCTAGCAGTAGTTAGCACTCGACCTCTGTTATATTTATATAGACTCTGTGCTGCACGGATATACTCAGAATTTATACTTTTTCAATGTAGTTAACCAAAGTTAGCCATGAAAAATAGTGCGTAGACGGCATACAGCATTGTTTCCATAGTAACAAATAATAACGAAATGATTCAGTATTTATTTTGACAACGACCTCATAATCGGCAATAACCTTAATTTAATTAAGGCGGCAACTGATTTAAAGTGTTAAAAATTTTAAAAATCGTACCAAGAATAATTAAAATTAAACGATGTTTCGAGTAGAGCTTTCAAAACTGCAGTTTTTTGCCCATTTAAGTATCTGCTGTAGTTTCCAAGATTTCAAGATAAAACACACTCTGTATATCTAGTACAGGGATTTTGGAAACTATAGCGGTTACGAAAAAGGTTAAATGGACAAAGAGTTGTAGTTTTGAATGCTCTACTCGAAGCCAAATTTATTTTTCCAAAATTTGACAGCTGTCAAGAGATATTTGGGAAAAACTTTTCATAAATAAGTTTTTCAAATTTTTAAACTAGCATCAGTTCCGCTGATATTAATTTGACATGAAAACATTAAATAGAAAACTTGTAGGAAATTGACGTCCAGACAAAATGGCATAAAATAACTGTAATTTTTGACGTATGACACAATTTTGATTTTCTTTCTAATGGCATTCATACTTAAATATTGCTTTACCAAATAGAGCATTTTATTACGATTTCTGTGATCCAATGGAAAATAGTATAAAACATAGCATTGTTTCCATAGCAACGAAATAATAACAACATATTTTAATTTTTGGCTTGATTAAATTCAACTTAGAAATCTAAGTTAGTTTTGATGTAAAAATGAATTATTCCAATCAAAAAAAGCGCGACATGATTGCAACCTACATTAAATGTGATTAAAATGCTAGACGGGCCTCTGAGATTACTATTTTGAGAGGTCTTTTGACCGTCGTCAACCGTCCTCGAAAACATTCAAACGATTATACGACAATTTGGACTTGGACTTTGAATTTTTTGACTTTTTTGACTTGTGGACTTTGAATTAGAAAATTAATATAGAACATTTATATCGAATAAGCCTAGAATTTTACGATAATAATTAAAAAAGTGTTGATTTCTTGTCTTTTCAGGATATTGCAGGAACCAAGTCGGGTACCTAAATTTTGAAAACGGTAATGAATAGGCAATCGAGTTCTGCCCAATTTTGCCCATTTAGCGGATTCTCTATCTTTAAAAATGTAGAAGTTACCCATACAAAGATTCAGAAAATGGCCACTCTGTATACAGGGTGTTTGGTAAGTAGATACATTCCTTGCAGGGGGTAATAGTGGAAGTAATTTTGGATATATTTCGTTAATAGACCAGGTTCTGAAAACCATTAGTTTCCGATCTACAGGGTGTCAAAGTTTAAAAAAAACATTTTTATTTATTAATATTTCGGAAACCGCTTATAATGAAATTTGACAATACACGTTTTGCGATAAACATTTTGTTTCCATCTTTTCCAGTGGCGTGGGCACAGGCACGTCTGTAGATAATTTTAAATAAAAAAATGTTGCGCCACTGATTTTTCATATTAATTTTTTTAGACAAAAACTAGTGCAGATCCAACTTTTTAATAAAAACCCGATTACGCTGTGCAATAAATCGATTTTAATTTGTTTACTAGCAAACGGAACGTCGTAGAAAAAAAGTCCTTTTCTCTCCGAATTGAACAGGAACTTGAAAAATATTATTTATGTTTTGAAAACATTGATTGAAAAACTACATAAACGTCCTTCAGGAAAATCAGAATACGCAAAATGAAGACCTTGCAGCAACCCAAACGATTGTTAAACGTTTATCCAAAGGTATAGATGCGCAATTGTCTAGCATTAACCTCAACCAAAAATAAATTCAATATCAAATCAACAACAACTCTAATAAAGTCCAACCTACTTGAATGATTCGCACTGACAATTTTAGATTATCAGTGGAATAATCTAGGGCCGTCACAAATTAGCCTTGTGACGTAATAACAAACGATCAAGGATCAAGATCGACTATTTTTCCAAGGGCGATTTTTTATATTATCTGTGCTGAGCTTTAATAAAAACTGCAACGACAAAAACACCAACAATATTTGATTAAAAACCGTTTAATCACTAAATAATATCATACTTTACTAGAACACCTACAAACGCAACTGAACTAAGGACCAAGATCTGTTTGTTTTGTAAGCCAAGAATTTTAATTTTTTT